TGCATTTCATTCATAGATCTCAAATTGGCTGCATTTTAATCATGGATGTGACAAGTCCTTTGTGTGGTACTTATACTTTAAAACATAGTTTTAAATGATTCTGCTCCCTCCAGTGACAGTTCTTAGACCCTCACTAAAGAATTGCCTGGAGATGGTGAAAGCTTCAAAATAGCCACACATTTTTATCAGCATTCTCTGTGGCTTAGTTTATATAGCAGTAGTGTGTGCAAATATGGCGTGGAAAGGGTCAGATCAGGTGTGCAATCTGGCTGGTAAAATCTGGAAGATGTTTATGGTTTATGAATAACTTTTACTCACTTAAAAAGACACATTATTCCTGTACCACTGACAGTGACAGACCGCAGAACTGTACTGTTCTTTGAGATTCTTTCCAGTGAAAGCCAACTCCTCTTACTGACTCACTAATGATTATTTGACTAACTTACTAAATATCCTCCATGTCAACCTACTTCAAACAAAGAACCTTGTGATCCTGAGATATTACCTACAAGGGTTTATGAGAATTTTTTTCCCCATGTTCTTTCTGAAAGTGTTCTAGCAGCAAAATTCTGGCATGACGGTAGCCTGGTGCTAAGCCCTGCTTATGTCCTTGGTGTTAAGCTGATCAGCAGCTTTGGGATCAAGAGGGAATTTTCCTGCACGGCACACGGGAAGGGCTGGTTGTTGGTTGAGGTTTTCCTTGCCTGTGATGCTTCTGAGAATTTGCCTTGCTTTTGAAGTGAGCAAGGTGGTGTCAATGTTTTCTGCCCCTTTCCTGCTGCTTTCTTTTGACGTGTTGCAGTCGTGGGTCTGTCTTTGTTAGCCCTTCCATTTGTGAGGCGTTCTCGTGCTGCACTGGTATGTTATACAAAGAGCTCCCAAAATTCCTGAGACCATGAGTATTGCCTGGTCCCAGCAGTATCATACCTTGGAAACCCTTAAAAAGAGGACCCCCCATTTTGTCCTTGTTTGGTTGTCCTTCTCGCAGGTGATCAGACATATCTCCTGGCATCATGCAATTCTGAAGGATCCCCTCTCTGTCTGAATCTGGCTCTTAATTTAGCTACTGCAAGTTGGAGGTCATTTTCCCTAATGGTCATTTTCCCTAATCCGTGGAGGGAGATGTGCAACAGGAACTATTGCAGGGACGCCAGGTTGCTTTCTGTGGAGGGTTATTTTCTCTTCTGACCATCCAGGCAGCCCTGTGAGACCTCCTTGGCATCTTGCAGCCTCTGAAGTTACTGGGTACAAACACCTCGCTCCTTTGTTACCTGTTTCCCAGTGTTTAATGACTGATTTTGCAGTGCTGTTTTAATGCTGCTGACTTCACATGCAGAACCAGAGAGCAATTGTGATTTAGTAGGTTAATTTTATGGCTGGGGAACAAAAATGTTTATTGTAACTCAGTGACATTAACATATTTTCAGAATATGAAATAAAAATAGCTGTTTCCAATAGAAGCAGTGGGCACTAACATAGAAATAACATGAGTTACACATGCCACAGGAAAGGTATCGGTTTTGGCATATGTGGATGTACTAGTAGGTGTTTTTCCCATGTCTCAAGCTGCACTAGCTTGCAGCATTACCAGAATTCAATTAGCAGCCTTTTTAACATGGCTTTTTTTCTGTTAGTGCATTATCTACTTGTAGTTGTTCAATATTTAATTTATAAATCAAGTGTGTGGGCGGGGGTTTTTTGTTTGTTTTGGGGTGGTTTTGGGGGGTTTTGTTTGTTTGTGTTCAGTTTCTTTTAAATGAGGTTTTTTTTTTGTAAGTTGGCCTGTGGGGGTGGTTAGAACCCCGTCTCAAAATTCACCCAGTGGAAACTAAAAGCTGCTAGTCTCTAGCAGCTGTTACATACATAGTCTGCATTTCTGGCTGTATATATCCTAGCAGGTAATTGTTTCTGTCAAGATCCATCACCCTAGGCAGCGACTGACCCATTTGCTGGCAGTTTCAGCAGAGAGGTCAGTGATGGAGCAGGGACGGAGCAGGGGCTGTCCGCAAGGGTGTACCGGTAGAGAGGGTTGAGCTCCACTGAGAAGGCAGCCTGGGGAGTCTGCCACCACGGCAGACTGTGTGCTTCCTCATTATATGGACAGAGCACTTCAGTCTCCAGTCTTGTCAAGCTGTCACCTTTCATCAGCAATAAATCTGCTTGCTATATAAATGAAAAAGGTAATAAAACATTTTTATTAGTCATGACAAATGCTTGTCTTAGCAGAAGTTGAGAAAATAATGACTTGATTTAAATATTTATTAAATCAAGTAATTTTGAGGCATTTTTAAGACCTGAAGGTATTTTATGATATGATAAAACAATTGCATAATTCATGTGATATATTACACCAGTGGTACAGTGTTGCTCAGAAGAAATAAAACCATTCTCACTTTAATGTTTTTAATTTTAAGCTAGCCTGGCATTGCATGTTAACAGCATTTTTGTCCAATTTCTCAGTCTGCTCTCCCTTGTCAATGCCATCTGCTTGCTTGTTTTACCACCTCTTTAACAACCAGGTGATTTTTCCCATCTTCACCCTCCTCCTCAATATGCCCAGCAGTCCCATTTGGGTTTATGGGGTTAGTGTGCTAAGCAATATTCATATGTTTATGTAAATGTGTTCTAAAGAACCTTTCTCCATTTCTAGTTCCATAGCTTCTAAATCTTCCAGCGTCCTGACTTATAGCACTGAATTATTTTACTGTAGTCTAATCTGCGTGTTATGCCAGCTGGTTTTGTTGATCTGTAATGTATTCATTTATGCAATAGGTTCTACTCTAGCAAAGCACTTAAAATTAAGTGTGCAGGTAGACTTGGTGAAAAGAATGTCGTTAGCTTAAACCTAAGCACCTGCCTAAATGCTTTGCTGGATTGGAGGCTTAGGAAAGAGAGGAAAAGGTTGGTCTAATTATGTTGAATGTGTTTTAGAGCTCCTTTATCCTAATAGCCTTATCACCAGACCAACCTCTGATTACGGATAAGCAACATAGAAGATTTCTCATGGCTTGCCAGGCTTTTCTTTCACTTCATCGTTTTCTAGATCTCTCTCCTGGCTTTTCTTAAAAACTATAAACTTAAGCATGGTTTGCATAAGAAAATGTATCTCTGCCTCTTAGGAAGTAAACTTCAGGGAAGCCATGTCTTAAAATACTGGATGTAGAATGCAACGAAAAGCTGGTGTCACCAGTTCATTTGATGTTTGTGTGTGTGAGGAGAGCAAAATATTTATACAAGTCCAGTTTGCAGTAGCCCACAGAATAAATGTGGCAGTGAGACCAGATTGGCAAAAAAGGAGGAAAAAGGTAAAATGAATGACACAGGGGTTAAATTCTGCTCTGCTATTAATTTGGGCTGAGTCAGTATTAGAACTATTGGAAAAAAAAGAAGGATGTAAACCACTGAAAATGAAATCTGAAGAAAAGATGTACATGTATTTTTCCAGTTCTAACTCTTACCTGCTGGCGTTTGTCTTTTTCTGTTCCTCAAATCTGTGTGCCCTCGCTCCCACAGATGACAGGGGGATTTGCAGGACTTAGTTTAACTCATGGTCACTGTAAAACTGCCCTAAATCCAATGTAACAAGAATTGCTGCTACTGCTTTCCCAAGTCAGAACTTAGCTGGACTGCGTTTTTGCTTTTCCTGCTGCTGCGTGGCCAAGGCATGAGGCATTGCCGAGACCAGAAAGCCACGCACAACCCCAGGTGTTTTCAGAGAAAGGGACATTTGTTGAGTCGTCTTTGCACACCCTTCCTCTTCTGCAGTGTTTAGCTTGGATATGTTGTCGTTTCTGAAGCCGTAACTAACAAGCTCCTCGTGGAATTCACACTGTGCAGTTTCCTGTGTGTTATTTTTCAGAGGCAAGGCTATACTGTGATTTTCTTTCTCCCTCGTTCCTCCCTACGTGAGCTTTTGGCATCTTTATCAAGGATGGCACTTGAGCAAATGCTTAACTTGATTGCACTGCCTAGACTCGAAGATAGAAATGGGCTTAGGCACTCTTGAAAAAGTATGAACTGAGGCAGATGTTTAAAGCTTTCTAAGATGCAAACCAAGTAAGTGCTTTCTCAGAAAGATTATTCGTAATTGTTTTTTACTATATATATCATGATAGGGAGAAAGAGGAAAAAAAAGCGAAAATAGTTGCATAGCAGTAGATTTGTAACAACTTCTCGTGTTTGTGGTTAGTTGCCACCACGGTGTTTTTAGCTGAATGCAGCCTATACATAGGGCAATACAGAGTCCCAGGCTTTTGCCTTCTTTCTTTTTAATGGGCGCGGGGCAGACAGTAGTGGGTGGTGAGCAGCTCCCGGCTCTGTGCACAGCTCTGTCCTGCCTTGCCGTGAGCCTTTGTTCACTTTGCCTCTCTTTGTCTCTCTTTCCTTCTGTGTCTGTTTAAATTATAAAGGCTAAAAAGGTGGGGACTGGCTCCTGCTCTGTGTTTGACCCTGCCTGCCAAACCCGGGGGACTTGCTGCCCACTGGCATGTCAAAATATTTTTGTAATACAAATAATTATTAAGAAATTTCTATTTTGCCACCTAATCATCTGCAACTTGAGACTCTCAATGTATTTGAGACTGACTGACCACTCCACCATCAGTATGAATAAAGTCTGGGAGGTCTGAGGATGCTTTCAGGTTCTCTGTTTGACATTGACGTCTTCAGTGACAGCTCAGGTGCCAGAGACTTGGGCCCACCCTGTGGACACTGTTGAAAGGTCCCTGAAGTGTCTCAGGGCAAAAAGTCAGATAGAAGCATGCAGTTCCAGGGCAGCATTGGAAACACTGGCTTGATGTCCCTACAGCTTTCGTGCGACATGGGAAGTCTTCCATCTGCCTGCCAGTGCAGGGTTCGCTTTGGTTTTGATAGTATATGAGAATGCAAGTGGATTGAGGCATTGGTCTTAACTGGCACATACTGTGAGCTATGTTCTCAGCTGTGAGGCTATATGCATAATGCTTTCTGCCTAACATCAGTTTTCTGTTTGTCTTTTGCAGCACTTTTACAGGCAGTCATAGCTGGTGATCTGCTGAAGGTAAGTACAGAGCACTGAGTGTCCACTTTTTCACAGCTTTTTGCAGGTCTGATATACTGTAAATTTTATCACACCTCTGCTCAAAACATAAATAGACTGCTGTAGGGACTGCTGGCAAATGCCATTTTACGGCCTTTCCAGGAAACCCTGAATATTAGGGGAACACATCAGTCAGGTGAGATGTGAAATTTGAGTGAATAGGATCTGGTGTTAGACAGCACCTTTCAGCCCAGGATTCATAGTGCACTGCACAGAGCAGCGTGTCAGTTACTAACAGGGAAATTACTATACTGGCAAATGCAACACTGAACAGCAGGGTAGTTCTGACAGCCTTACACAGTAAAGGATATTTTACGGCAGTGAGGTTGGTGGCCAAGCCCCTAGAGTTGCTAGAGACTTCTTAACTTCTACCTAGGCAACCACCAGACCAGGTAGAACAAACCTCAGCTTGTTGTTTTATTGTCTGATGGATGTCTCAAAACATGTAGTGTCTTGGTATTGTTAGTTATTGGGAGGAAAAGGCACCCATGCAAAAATGTTTTGTGCCCGAAGTCTGAAGTTCCATGTCTGACAGTTATTCAGGCTGTGTGTTTCAGTAGCCAAGTCAGGATTTGAAAACATGCCCTCGAATTTGGATGAGGACTGTGATTAATGATTGCAATTTTATCTGCGAGAAGCCAGCTTGGAGCCATTTGTAAAAATGACAGTACTGTTAGGCCAACTCTTTGCCTGCAGGTGCCCCTTCTATACCTCTGCCCCTGCGCTTGTGGCTACAGCATCTAGGGAGCAGTCCTTCAACCAGCAGTCATAAAAATATTGTCCCCTTTCCGCTTCTTGAAAACTTTTTGCCTGAGTTTGCTCTGACAGGGAAACTTCTTGCCTTCTTCAGATGTACTGCATCATAAACGATGCCCCACTGTCGCAATCCTCTCCCTCTTTTCCGCAGCGATCTGCACTGCAACCCTCCCCGCCCCGCCGAGCTTGCAGCATTTCGGAGACCTGGCCGGTTGCTGTTTCCTGCCCATTCTTTCCCCGCGTAGTGCTTCCCCCTCCGCCAGCCCCGGGTAGGGGACAGAGAGTGAGAAGGGAGACCTGGGGCAGCTGAACCCCACCTTCCTGCAGATTTTTGAGTTGGAGTTTTCGGGTTTAGTCAGAACGTGTTTGTCTCCTGTGCTGAGGAAAAATCGGAATTTTCAGTAGAGACGCCAGAATTTTCTATCAGATACATACATTTTAAAATATCCCAACAGCTTCACCAGAAGTGGTTTGCAAGCATTGCTAGCAAGCAATAATTCATTGCCAGTAGAGTAGCAATGTCTCATTGTTTAGGAAATACAAACTGCTCTTCTTAACCCATGTAATTGTCAATACTTCTAGCTTCAGATATTTTTTTCATTGGGTCTAAAAGCTGGCTTTAAAGTAATATTTTATTTCATTTTATTCCATTTTTGTACTGACCTCCTATGAAAATTAGTAAATAATTTTCCTGCATATTTGTTTTTCTGCTCCTTCCATCTTATCCTTCTGTATGGCTTTTTTTTTTTTTTTTTCCAGTTCATAGAATGCTGTAAAAAAGGAGCCAACTTGTTAATCCAAGGACCTGATCACTGCTCCTTGTTGCACCATGCTGCCAAGACTGGGCATGGCGAGATTGTGAAATACATCCTGGAGCATGGTGAGTCACAGTGAGCAAAGCCACAGAGCGCTGTACTTCAGCCAAGTGTCAGTCAGGTAAAACCACACCATGTGGCTAGAAATGCCCTCACTCATCTGTGGTCACCCTCAATAAAATGTCCACCTGCAGCATCTGTGAGCAGGAGGCTAGGAATGTGGTAGCAATGACAGCGATGGCTCCAGATAAAGGGAAAGTGTGGAAACAAAAATAAAGATGGCTTTTGAGGAGGATGGGTGTTTTCACAGTTGCATCAGTTGTGAAGAAGCAGCGTGATGCTCTAGTTAGAACATAGGCATAGGAATCCTCTGAACTAATTTAGTTTTCAATTAGAGCATATGTTGTAGAAAGCATCTAATCTCCGTTAAAACATTCACAGCGATGGAGAGACCCTCCAACCATTGGTATTATTTCAGTATTTAATAACACACTGGTTAGGAATCTGTGCTTTTATTTCTAGACTGGATTTGCCTAGCTTCCCTTGCAACCTTCCAATATTATGTCTCTGTTAGATTCAAGACCACACGATAACAAAAATTTATGATCTCCATTTTATATTTATATTTATAGGCTGTGATCATGCCACTTCCCTTTTTTCCTTTCGACTCTTTTTATCTTTGTCAGTCACAGGATCGCAGGCATGCTTACTCAGGCTATGCAGCAATTTGTGTGTGTACATACGTTTGAGGCAGTCACATTTAGGAGTTTCTGCCTGTTGAATTACCGTAATCTTGTCCACTGGTTTCTGGAGAGTGGTACAGTAATATTGTCACTGCTCTGCACGCAGAGCTGAAGTCCCAGTGATCAGCCTCCATGGTACAGTAATATTGTCACTGCTCTGCATGCAGAGCTGAAGTCCCAGTGATCAGCCTCCTGCACTGTAGGAAATGTTTTCTAGTCCTTTAAACATTCTTGTAACTCTTCTCTGATCCCTTTTCAAAATATCAATGGCTATTTTGACTTCTGGATGTCAAAATCAGCTATATTATTTCAGCAGCAGTGCTAGCACTAAACACAGAGACTGCCTCTGGCAATTGGAGTAAGTGTTAGCTAATGCTTGAAAGTTACTGCAGAAATTGTACGGAGAGAAGAAAAAAGCACGACTCATAGGAAAGGAAGAGGCAATAATCCATCTGTTAACATTTATGTTAACTGGAATGGGATTTAGCTCGAGCTTGACTCCGAAGTTCAGCTTTTACATATAGGTGTTGTGTAATCTATGGGTCTAAGTTCCTGTACTATCAACAGAGATCCATGACTCAATTCATTTGCTCCTGTATGACAGAGGTACTAGAGGAGACCTGTCCTCTCTCAGTGGCAGATGGAAGTGAGGAGGGCATCTTTAATAGCAGCAGACTTCTAGCATGACTAGCTCAAGGGAGACCCTAGTCAAAGTAGTCATTGCAGCCCAGCAAGCGATTCAGCTGATGATTACCTGTGCGCTTCGTTCATTTAGCTAAACATAACTATGTAATGTCATTTGCCCTTGGATATCCAGGACATCTGCATGGGTCTACAAGATAACATACAAGGCCTGTAGGAGACCCATACTGGACTGGCAGCTGGAGCCCAAGCAAGCATCCCTGTCATTCCAAATGCATCCCAAGACCTGCTCATAGGCGTATCGAATGGCACAAAATATCTGCGTGTGGGCAACTCAGCTGTGGCCCAGATACCTGACTGAGCTGCTACTTTCCTCTTTTATGTATAGATACCTACACATGGGTAGCTAAGTGTAGCTGGCCTTATATCCAAATATTGGCTAGTTTTCTCCCCAGTTGTAACAAGTCTTACCAGTGCTAACTCTACCTCCTATTTAACTTCTCTGGATTATCTCATTAGTCACATTGACATATACTTGCCTCTGAATTCTGTAGACAAGCGTAATTTCACTTCATTTTCTTATTGCCTGTGGTCTCTTCTCACAGTGCACATGACCTGTGCCAATTCACTGTCATGGCTGCCTCTCCAGGATTTTTCTTAGGCACATATACCTTAACTTACTCACAGTCTGACCCAGTTACCGTTCCTTTGGTGAAGGTTTAAAATGAGATCATTTAAGCTGGTAAGGATGTGAGCAGGGAATCCACGGGAATTTTTGAAGTGAATAGAGAAATGTGAGGGATTACGGACTGTTAGACAAAGACAAACCAGAAGGTTGAGCAAATGTCAGCTCAGTTCCTCTCTCCCCGCTTTATCCCCAAGGATGGCAGGAAGCTTTTGCAGCTTTCCAGACCCATGTCCTCTGGGCTTCTCCAAATGCATTGTTTGTTTAACATTCTTTGGGGATCAGAGAGTGCATGGGACAATGCTGTAACGGGGGCCTCCTCTCTTCTCCCACCAAGCAATTAATGAAACTCATTTCTACCCTGGGCACTTCTCAGTCACAAACGAGCTCTCTTGCTGAATCATCATCATCATAATGTCCTTGTTTTTCTGTTGCGTTCTCTGGCATCTGGCATCTTCTCAACATTAATTAGTGTATAAGACTCAATCCAACGCTACTAATATCTGAGGCTTTCGCTGTATCTAGCTTCTCATTTCTGCTGATATCCACCCTTGATAAAAATGGGTCTTACTCCTGTTCTAGCAATTACCTCTGCCCAGCCATACTTCCTCTGCAGTTTGTCTGCTTCCCATGGAAGAGACATGGCTGGAGAGAGTTAATATTAATAAGACTTCTACGGCAAAATACCCTCCAGCACACAGCACGGAAAACCTGTTATTAATCACACAGGGAAAATCGTCTGAATATCTTTAAAAAATGACAACAACAACAACAACAAAACAAGACAAAACCTACCATACCAGGAATTTTAACTGCCTAGTGTGAAACTAGTGGGATGAATCAAATGTGATACAGGAGTGGGGAATCCCCCCCTGCCCATACACTGGGATTATGAAGGAGGAAAATGGTGTAGTGATGCTGTGACTGTCCTTTGTGGAGATGGCTTTATGCTTTCTGCAAACATGCAGGCGACATTAATGCGAGAGGTTATTCTGTGATCTTGATCAGAATGATTTCAGATGTTAAATTAGAAAAAGCAGAGATGACTCACACAAGGAGACTGCTGTGCAGTATTGCCAGATACTTAGCAGTGGACTAGCACAAGCCTGGAATAGCAGCTGAAGCACCAGTGTCGTAGGTGTCCGGACGACAGCTGCATACTGCTGCAGGAACAGTTGTGCTGGCTGCTGTTCCTGCAAAACAGTTTCTTTCTGTCCCCTGTGCAGGAAGGGCAGATACACAGACCTGTATGTTGTTCAAGACCGCCTTCTTAAATCAGGGGTCTTTTGCTTGTAGTAGGAGGGTCACCTTTTAAGATCTGTCTGTAGCTGGGCTAAGGAACACTTAGCTTGAAACTGAGGGCCAAACTCAGCAGGTATCAGAACCACATCTGTTTATCGCTGCAGTCAGCAACTGCCTCACACCCTAATGCATACACATTAGAGAAGAGTTAACTGTTTACTTGCTTAACACAAACAGAATTAGGGAAGACTTAAGAAGCTCCGTTAGAAAAAGGACCTCCTAAATCATCATCTGTATTTGGAATCAAGCTTGGCTTGGAGTCTTTATCTGGCAGTTCTGAACTATTTATAATTTATAACCAGTATACAAGACATTCCAAGGTTTGCCTTCTCCTTGTCTTCTCCTCTTCTCTAGAGGCTCAAAAGACAAACAAGAATTCTGTAGTTCATCTAGGGTATTTTGATTTTAAACAGAAGTAAAGATGTTTACAGTTGTCTTAGGAGTTTGTGGTGGGAGCTTCTGATGGAACAATCAATCAGTAGAGCATCCCATCCTGAACATTTCTGTGACCTCAAACCTCAATGACCTTGCTCCATTATATAGCACCCTCTGGTAAAAAAGATGCTTTCATTATTCTTAGCATTGCAAAGTCAACAGTGAAGAGCCATCAGTGAGTTTGGATTTGCATCCTGACCAGGTTTAGGAGTTCCAAAGAAGGCTTTTGTAAAGCAAATTTTGCTGTGACAGAGGTGTGTGTCAGGGACAAAGTTTGAATAGCCATCAGAAAGCAACACTGAAGGAGAGTGAGTTTGCCTGACATATGCTAGTATGTCCAGATTTGCAGAATGTTTTAGGGCAGTGAACATTTGTGAGGGGCCTAAGCAGAAAACAGCTTAGTTTTCCTAGAAGGCACAAGGTATAAAATAGTCTATTTTAAGTTGCAAGTTTACCAAATTTTAGGTCGACATGGCTGAGAGACAGTTACGATGGAAGACACGCTCCCATAACCTGACTACCCTCTATGTTACAGTGGAAATTCTGAGCTAAAAGACACTAGCAGTGAAAACCAGACACTGTTGATCTTCATATTGGGTAAAAATGAGGCATGTGGAGTTGGGGGAAGGCTTGAAATAGTTCTGACTTTGCAGATTACTATTATTTTAAAAATATTTCCCCTTTGAAGGTAAGGAACCAAATCCAGTTTTGTCCCCCAGATAACAACCTCAATCAAGTTATTCGACAAAGAAGGTTTAGACAGATAAACACGCAGAAATGCTGATAATGTCCAAATTGCTGCTTAAAGAAACACCCTTCTTCCCCAGTTCTGTGAAGGACTGACAGGACAAGGGACTGGCAGGGGTTAATAGCCGTGTGTCTCCTGTGGGTAGCTGTAACCACATCCATTGGAGAGGGCAGGGTATGCTGCGGGCTTGGAGGCCTTTTGGACTGCATGGTGCTGTATATTTTGGAAATGCCTCTGAAATATGGTCATTTAGTCTCTCTTTTATGTTGTAGTGAGCTCAGCTAAAGGGCAGCTGCTTTTGAGTATCTCCTTCCCTTCCCTCCTCCCATCCCCAGCTCAGGCTGCTTTGCCTCCTGAGAAACTGGAGAGGGGCTTTGGTGGAGTGAAAGGGGGCAAAAGGAGAGAAGGAAAAAAGTTAATAATTCTACACAGACAGTCTATCGGAGATGTTAAGGAAAGAAAGTAATCTCAGCTGGGCTTCCCCTCAGTGCGTCATGCTTTTCAGCTCCTTTCATGCGAACTTCTCCCCACCCCCCCCATCCAGCCATTCTTTAGCCCCCGAGTCGCTCGCTCTTTCTCTCTCTTTTTTTTCCTCCCTCCACCTCTCCACACATTTCTATCTTTTGTTTTTATTTCCCCCCCTGCTGTTTTCCTTGATAGAAATCTCACTCATGCATTTCCCTTCCGGATTTCTATGGGGTTATTTTGTCCTCTCTCTCTCTGCGCCTTGGTCCCCTTTTCTTTCTCTGCCTCTTGTCCCAGAGTAAAACAGCCGCCTCCCCGCTGGGTCAGGATGACAGTGCCGTTAGCTTTCCCAGTGCCAGCCCTTCCCACATCTGTGCAGCTTTTGTCCCGGGGCAGAGGGGGATTTGGAATGGTCGGTTGGCAGCGCCAGGGAGACTGATGTAAAAATGAGGTCCAAAAAAGAGGGGAAAGGGAATTAGGAGGAGGGCGTGAGATGGTTTAAGAGAAGCACAAGTGAAAATAAAATAAAGAAGTAAAGGGCACAGCTCAGGCTGTGTGTGAGTTGGGACATTCCAGCTTCAGAGGTAGGCCAAGAATGAAACGAATGAATCCTGGTACCACGTTGTGCTGCTAATCGATTAACCCCAATATCTGGTCCTTATGAATGACTGGGGTGGAGTCAGGGCACTCCCATGAAATGCTTTATTTGGGACAGTATCCAGGGGAGCACCCTTCGCACGCAGGCAGGATGTACCTGGCACCTCCTCAGGTCTGTACGTGCAGGCTTGCCCGCTCAGTCCTCAGCACTCAGCTCCTCTCTCCTAGCCTTGCTGTTTCTTCCTGCTCCAGACCAGTTTTCCTTCACCCTTGGCTTCCCGTCTTTCCAAACCCACTCTGCCCCAGCTTCTCCTCCCTCTCAGGTCATATTCTTCTAACTTGTCTCCATCCTTCCTCCTAATGTTTTAACACCTTTTTCTGTTCTCCTCCACTTGGCAGGGCAAGTACCTCTCTGCCCAATGCAGCCAGCCCAGTCACCCTGTTCCACCTTTGCATCACAACCTTCCTTGTCCCATCCATGAACAGAAACAATAGTTTACTTGGCGGTGTCTTTTCTAACACGCTGAAGGCCATTCCTGATTACCTTTCACTGGGACATGGCATTGCAGCAAGCCATGGAGAATTGCCTCTATTTTTGAGAGAACGTGATTTTCTTTTCTCCTGGGAGATGTAAGGGAGTCCTTTTGTTCATCTGTTGGGTTTTTTCTCTTTTTAGTTTCTCAGGCATTATTTTTCTTTCCTCTCAACGAGGGGCCTTGCTTAGCCCCCTGTATCCTTCTTCATGCTTATGGGAGCTCAGAGGCCGTGAGTGATTCTTCTTTTTGATGGGGAGGATTCAACACATAACTGCCAAGTGAGGAGATGAGGATGTGTGGTGGTAGAGTCAGGCTGCTGTGCTTTAAAAATTGACGGTGGCTGATGAGTTTGGAGAACTGCCATGATAGGTACGCAATGCCCTGCGCACTGGGGACTAAGCATGATACTTTTTTGACCACCCCTTTCTCATGATGACAGAAGATGAAGTGAAGGAGCTACCTGCAGCTCCCAGAGCCGAGGCAGCCGGCTGCCCCGATGATCCTGAATGTGTATGTTGTAAAAGGAGTGAGGGAGAGACAGGCTGCTCTGATCCATTTTGACACATACTCAGAGTGAAAGGAGTGTAGAGAGGTTGTGTGTAGGCCTTTGTAAGCAAGTAGTGTGAAATTCCTCAGTTTCAGGTGAGATTTGCTGTAAGCGCTTGAGGACTCTTGAATTTCAAAGTCAAAGTGTGCTGAAGAGAAATATTCATGCATAGGAAGGAAAATTCCTGTAAAGTTTCACTGTTCCCCTTGCTAACTGCCCCATACCATCTGGCATGATGCTCCAGAGCAGTGGAGAGACGAATAATAAGCCAGACTGCAAAGGGAAAAGTTTTTCTCATTTAAAATGCTATCCGGATCCTAGCCTTTCCCTATCACTGTAATTCACTGATGGAATTTGCTGCTATAAACATCTGCCTGTAGTGAATATCAAGGACACAAGAACATTAGCATAAATGCATTATTTTGTCCCACTTAACAAAAATCTTTTCCGTTTTTCTTAATCTTACTTTCCTGATCATTGCTAACCAGTAGAGTACAGGATTTGCATATCAATATAAAGACCGCTGGGAATATTCCACCCTGATCTACATTCTGTATAACGCTATTAAATGGAGTAGCACAGGGATGTCATTCAGGATGGAATTTGGCTAATTTCAACTTCCTAATGACATTTTCCCTCTAGTACTAACAATAGATTTTAACTTGCAATATATCAGGGTTTCCAGTGTATCAGCATTTTCAATGCACTGTACTTATGTGAACCACTTAATTGAGCAAGGTGAAGAGTGAGAAAGTAAACTCCATGAATATTCATTCCCAGTATAACTTAGAGGCTGCTACTCCCTCTTGCTGACACTCCAACAGTGACTCTGCATTCCGAATTTTGCTAGTGCAAGGGCTTGCACAAGCAAATATTACCTTGAAGGTTAGCATAATTGTGCAAATTGAGCTTTCAGTTGGCTTCTTTTACATATTTGCACCGGGAATCTTCTTCTGGTAGTTGTACTCTTCTAGTCATGCAGACAAATGCTATATGACATACCTGACTGTCTTTTGCAGGTCCATCTGAATTACTGGACATGACAGACAGTGAAACGTAAGTACAACCTACGCTGCCCTTCACATTATGTGCATTAACCTAGCAGACTTCTCTTGTTTTTTGAGTGCAAACTTTCAAATAGAAAAGCTTGTAAAATGGCACATGTCTTAAAAAACAAACAAGCAAACAAAAGTCCCCCCAAACCCAAGCCACCACCTCATCTGTGGTTTTCTGGCCTAAAACAAATGTTTCTTGAACTCCAAAAAGGACTTCTCTATTGCTTCCTATGTCTTCTTAATCTTTCTGGAGGAATACAAGTCCTGCGTTGTGGTTTGACGTTTCCAGAATCCAGTTACTGAGGAAGCAACCTGAAGGGTAAATTCCAGAAATCAGGAAATTACTTTTTTTGCTTTACACCTTTTCTTCAGTCCCTTCTTAATTCATCCAAAGTGCTCTGCCTTAGCTGTCCCAAGTGGCCGCAACCTGTGCAGTTGAAGATTTATCTCGAGTAGTTAGAACCTTGATCACCTCTGTTATTTTGAAAAAAAATACTTTACTTTCCAATTCCCAACTGCTCTGCATCTTGTGTATAATCAAGGTGTCATAAATAGTATATAAGGGAAGCATGAATAATCCTGGGAAGTATAAGGAATATATGGGAAGCAAAAGTAACCTTTCTTATAGGGTTAAACCTACCATTCCTCATCCCCCAGTGCCTTCCACTGCTACCTGAGAACGCCAGAAATGTTCTGCACAAGGTGCATGTGTGCAGTCCACGGGTGATGGAGTATGGATGGACTGCCTGTTTCTCTTCATGCAGCAGCATAGCACAGCCACTGAAATAAAGTGCAAGTGAACATGGCTATGAGGGCTTCCCTTTACAAAGGTCCCTCTACCACTAACTCTTGAAAATGGGAGGTTCAAGCCGTAACTGACAGCATGAATTTGTCTGTTGATCCTCAGGGGGAAATCAGGTAGTATCCCATTCTGAATCTAGTTCTCACGCAGCAGACGCAGATTCATTACGAGGTTGCCTATTAATATTTCAACTTGCTCTGTCATGTACTGAGGCTGAAATTCCTTTATGCACTCTCACTTTCTGGGTAGGTGGGCGCAAGATTTGTCCTACTACAGGTGTTTCTTGTCATTTGTTATTTTGGAGATGATGTAGTGGCCCTACTTGTTGGACCTAGTATTAAGGACACCTTTTTAACCCACTCAAAGCATACCTTTCTCCTCTTCCTAGGCAAATCTAGATAGATTTCTTTAACCTTGGTTCTATAGTGAGTCTCAGAATCCTGTTACATGTAGCCCCAGTCTGAGTGAGGAGCTTTGCGATAAATTTGCTCCCACTACACAGCCTTCTCTTTTGAAAAGCATGTGTTCAAGCTTCGCCAGTAGCTCACCAGCCCAGCGGTGGAAAACAGAAACACAGCTCTTGCCCTCATACATCCAAGAGAGCAGGGTATCAGAACCAAGGCAGCAAATGCACCAGTCATGGCTTTGATGGGCAGGATTTTTCTAGGATGTGTCCAAGAATGAGGTTGAGGAAAGAAATTGCAGGAAGAAACAAACACTGTTGCTGTCTTGCCTGCTGTAAAATAAGGTGGCAGCTACTTTTGCCTTTGCAGCAGTTAGCAGAACTGATGGTTGGATGGAAATGTGACATTCAGTCTTTTGAATGCGTAAAACCTGTACATGTTTCTTTCCCACACCTCAGAAGTTCTTTGTCTGCTATTTGTGCGTTGCAGGCTTTCCTACTGAGTCAAAGGATGTAGATGCTAAGGGAGAGAGTGCACAAGTCTGCCTCTGCCAGCAAGAGGGAACCTCACAGAAATACAGCATCCTTCTCTGTCTGTCCTCTGCACCTCATACCTCGTAAATGTACGTTGGTGTGATGTGTCTCACTGCTGGTTTCTGTACTTTGGTCTAGGGGTGAGACAGCCCTACATAAGGCAGCCTGCCAGCGCCACCGTGCCATCTGCCAGCTCCTGGTGGATGCGGGAGCCTCTCTGAGAAAGACGGACTCCAAGGTAACCCAGCCCCGTCAACCAGTTATAAAATACTGCAGCCAAGCGAGACCGATCAGCATCCGTCCCTGCTGTGTGCATGATTGAGGCCTCCTCGTGTGTGCCAAGAGCAGCTCTTTTTAAACAAGCTATTTTTATTTAGAAAACTGTATTGATTTAAACAAGTACAAGAGGCTTCGGTTCAGTCCCCAACGTGGGTCATCTTCACCATAGTGAGAGCCTGGCCTCAAACTATTCGGTGCGTTGGGTGTGAATGAGGCATCTCCATGGCACAGCATCCTCCTCCTCCTGTGTGGTCAAAAGAGAGGCCTGTGGGCCAGGACCACCTGGGGGAGCCTTGGTTTATGATTGCATAGCGTCTGTGAGGCTTGATTATTGTGGCTGACTTGCTTTATAAGGATGGCTAACCATTTTTTTTTGCCCTTGCTTGCCCCTATGCTCACTAACCACAACCCTCTCTTGGTGTACGCTTGGCTGAGAAAGAAGCCTGGGCAAAATAAAACCCTAGGAATATTCTGTCAATACAACAATCTGATCACTTGGGAACATGGTCCAGAAGCTGCCCCTCTGGCATTTCTGAACATAAGCATCCTGTGGTCAGCAGCTGAGAGGTGGTTGGATCTCTGGGCGCCAGAGTCAGAAGCACCTTTGCTGCAGCAAGACAATTAAAAACAATTCCTACCATGTAATGCTGTGTGGGGTAGCCTATAAGGGGGAAAGAGATCATCTCTTTTTCAGATGAGAGTCCTGTACATTGCAAAAGATAATTTCTGCGACAGCTGAAATCCAGACAAGTGGCTTCTGACTCGTTAATCTTCATCTGCCCAGAGATCCAAGCAGCAGGAGTGTTTTTGTGGAGATACATTAGCGTGTTTCCAATATTTTTTCATAGTTTAGGATCAAGGCTTGTGGTCCAATTTAACAGTACTCTTAAGGTAGCTCAGATAATGGAGTAGCAAATTGATGCACTGAAAAATGATTTGTACTTGAGATAGAATGAGACACGTTGAACTCATCTCAAATGTTGGGCTTCTCTCTCTGCACATCCTTAGCAAAGTGTATCGTCTGTGAAGTGCACTGTTCAAGTGTTAGCTGCAGTATACTGTGCGTCATATTCATTCCCATAGGGACTGTAGCCCTAGAATGAAAAGTCAGTTCCTTCCAGCATGTGAGCCCTTCTGTGTGATGTATCAAATGGCATGTCCTTGCAGAACTGCATGATTTGTCCTAAACCACACAAGGACTTTGAAAGAGAATCTCATGATAGGAAAACTTGACTTAACACCAACTTGTACAACAAATAAGTAAATTATCGAAATTTGCTTCTATCCTTCCTGTAGTAATTTCTCTGGGATGTGCTTTCATCTGTTCTTCTAAATGCGTTAGCACAAGACTCTCTTTTCATGTTTCTTTATTATAGGGTAAGACCCCTCGTGACAGGGCTCAGCAAGCTGGTGACCCAGATCTGGCCTCCTACCTGGAGAGTCGACAAAACTACCAAATGGTTTCCCATGAGGATCTGGAGACAGCAGTCTGATGTCTGAAAACATTGAAGAGGATCCTTGGAAATCACAAGGCTGCACCTGAGGCACTCGGGCATCATGTGAGGAAGAAGCTGATGGAATCAACGTGTCTCTCACTCTCGTGGAAAATACCTGAGGACATGCCACCAGTTTCTAAGGGCTACTGAGTCTTGCCACGGAACGGTTAGGTTCCATAAGTTAGCCCATGATGGATGAGGCGGGACACTCAAAGGTCTGTGGAATCCATGGGCCAGGAAATTTACCTTTATTGCTTCCAGCAAGTAGCATGAACTTCTCCCATGTTCATCTGTACAATTTATTTAAAAAAAAAAAGGAAAGAGAAAAGAGGGTGTGGGGGAACCAATCTAACTGGGACATTAAAACACCCAACCAGGCCTTCCTCTATCCCTACAGTTTCCTGCATTCCTTTTACTCTCCCATTCCCCTCACTTCTTATCAGTTAAATAGTACCTGTTATCTCTGTGTTAAGTCTTCACAAATGGTCAGGCAGTAGCAAAAAATTTGAGGAGCTCTGGATGCCCTTAGGAAAAACCCAACGTTTTTACCAGCTGCATTCCCTCCCTTGCCGTCCTCTCGGAAGCTGCGTCCTCAGTGCTCGATCACCGGGGAGTTTTCTCACTTTTGGAGAGGACTCTGCCTATTGCCTTCTTTCCCAGGGTGTGGGGCACAGTTAGATTTACAGCAGTAACAAAACCTAACCTCCTCATTGTTGCTGGGTATACGGTTACGGTATCCTCATGAGACAGTCATTTGTATGGAAAGGAATTATATGGGATACACCACGTTGTATGGCAGAGCAGAAAGTTACCAGTAAGGTTTCTCATGCCACCATTGCGTGTATAATGACCGACCTGATTCTGCTCCGGTTTCAGGCCTGCCTAAAAATTGATAGCTATTTTTCACTTTTGAAAAGATGGGTTTTACACTGAGGAGAGATCTGTGCAAGATGGAGGGGGTTCTGATGGACAGCACTAGGAAAAAATTTAACTCTGACCCAGCCGAAACCAGGACACTTATGGACCCAGTCCCCTTTGTGTTACAGCCAGAGGTGGGAAGGAGACCTAGAACATCAGTGGTCAGCCTAGGCTTGCTGCCGTCAACAAATGAACGAGCACCACCCCGGTCGCATTGGGAATAGGAAAACCTTCTTAGGCTGGACCTGTAAACTCTCCGATTCCCCAAGGGAACAAAGTTTCAGAGAGGCTATCCCACTGGAGAAGGATAAGCAGCAGCTCTTTGCCTCGTTACCCACTATAGGCCCAGAACCGTAAAGTTGCTTAGCTGCTGTAAAGGCCAGCCCTGTCTTCTGTACTCGTCTGTTCTCTGACTTACCTCAAAGATTGTAACCACAAAAGAAGAGAAAGCAAACACAGGCATACACAAAATGTTCACCTTCAGGTTTTCAGTCACTAGAGACAACTCAGCTGTCAGAAATAGCAGAGCTTCCACTTCCACTTTGTCTGACCCAGTTCCCATGAAGACGCTCACAGCTCACTTTTGGCATAATTCTTGCAATAGATTTTTGAATTTTGCTTTGTTGTTTGTTTTGAAAGATCCACCGGTACTTGTTTTCACACGCCTTGCTAGGTGTAGGTCTCTGGTAGATGGTGATCATCGGGATTACGTGCAGTTTGGAAACCATGAAAATAACTCAGGTCATTATTCAGATAAGTTTTTCTTCCTTGGTAGAAGATGTGGAAATGAAATGAATGTGATTCTTTTCTTTTTTTTCTTTTTTTTTCTTTTTTTTTTTTAAACAAGAGTGATTGTTGTGGCAGATAGGGAGGAGCTGAAAAATATATTTTTTATTTTTTTCTGTTTTCAAAAGTTCATTTGATATGAGAAAAATATTTCTTTAGTATTTCTTCCTCTGGAAGGAAACTATATATATTTGTAATCTATAGATCAATGGCGACATGAAATGTATTTTGTCTTATTTTCTGTCTTTACCTTTCTTGTTTAAAAAATAAAATATGAAAGCCAAATTCCTTCCCTTAATAATCATCCAGGGGCTTGTGGCGAAGGTCAGTATGTGTATATATTAGAACAGAATTTGGCAACTGTTAAAATAAAAAATCAGAGTATAATTTTGGTGTATGTGAAATTTCCACAAGGAAGATCCTCATGCTGTGGTTTCATGGTAGGCCTTGCATCATTTCCCAGCTGTGAGGAAAGACATTGCTGTAATGTTTCTATATATTTGATGAAAAATAAGAATTATATTAGTGTCATTTTTATCTTTTTGCTTTGTTTTACTGAAGTGAGAAACGGAGGAAGCTTCAATGACACTAGGGGTTGGGTTCTGTCCTGTGCTGAGGCCAGACGGGAGCCTGAGCAGAGGACGGTCAGTGAGCCCGTTGCAGCTCCCTGGTCCTTTCGTCCCATGAAGCAGGTGGAGCAGTAAAGGCTTGCTCTAATCACAGGTAGCTTCCAGAGGCCACATGTGAATTATGGTAAGGGAGCTGGGTCTGGTCCCTCTCTGTCCCCGGGGGTCCTCCCCTCGGTGAGACATCCCTCGTGCCTGGGGGGTGGCTGCAGCAGGGGCTGGCTCTGGCGCGGCTGGGCAGGACAGGCAGGTTTCCTGAGCTCCTTTGTGCGGTTCGGACTGCTCAAAGGAGCTTACAGCACACGAGGGAGGCTGGCTTGCCTTTTTCCCCTGGCAGCTGGAGTACGATGCTATGATCAGAGCGAGCCTGTTGCGCCTCTGGAAAGCTGCCCGCACTGTGTAGGAGGCAGTTACTGTAGGAAGAAAATAAACCCCAGCACTGGAGATAGGACAGGAGCTGGCTGTATGTAGTGCCTTTCATATACAAGGTGTCCCAAAGCACTGCACACATGATGCATTAGATACTGGCGATGTATTGTATTTGTAGATAACAGAGCGTGTATATTGTTTTCTGCAATGGCTCACACACAGCCAGGAATATCTGAAGTTGGTTCACTGAGGGAAGGAATTGGAGGCCAGGATGCTGCAGGATTATTTCTTACCCCTTTTCAAGTGCCATGGGATTCTCAATTTCAGACAGCCACCAGAAGCAGGCAGACTCTGCAGCAGTTAAAGGTGACACGTACGTATTGAATCTCTTGAGCACTTGGGGTCTAGCTTAGTACAGTATCATTGTGTCTGCGCTGTGCAGGGCCCAGATTTTAGTGTGCGGCTGGGAACCCACTTAAATTACATGTAAAACATTTTGATTTACTAAAAGTGTCTGTTCTGTGCCTGTGTCTATTTATGTGTGTATATTACTATATATATGTATATTTATAAATACCAGTATGCATATATATAGACTCACACACACATATGCACACACACTTTTAGAACTGTGCCATTTGAATGACAAAGTACCTAGGGATGCTCAGCTACTGGGGTTGCTGGACTGACAAAATGTCATTTTCCATTTTAATTTGTTATTAAAGGGGACCCTTTGCAGTAGAACTGAGGAGCTCCTGAATTGTTCCATTGTACTGGTTTTACTATCTCATTTTGGAGTTAAATGGAGGGAAAGAAAATATTTATAATGTTGATAAAATAAACTTGCTTTTGTTATTTAATAGCATCAGTTACTCTTATTATTTCATGTTTCAATGCTAGAGATATTGTTATGTGTTACCCAAGACATGACAATGTCATACATTTCTCACTAATTATAGCATCCCTTAATATTGTGAGGCGTGAGGCTGAGTGACTCATGTAAGACAGGAGTTCAGGGCAAATTTTGCCCATTACAAAACGGGCCTCAGACTCCAGTGGCTCTTTCACCATTGAAAAGAATGATGGCTTGTCTGTGTTTTAGCACTTTCAGATGTCTGTAGATGTTTTTACTGACACCTGTCACCCTTGCTTTTCCCCAGCAGCAGTAGAATTGCTCAGTCTCAACTCACGGTGCCATAGCCTGGATTCGAACTACATGAGATGGCCCCTGCTACTTGAGGACTGTCATATAGAAGCACCATAGATATAAAGAAAGTAGAACAAAATTGATGTTTTGTTGCCATTGATCTTCCCAGTTATATTTGCAGAGCTGATGATGTTGCGGATGAACAGATGGGGCACATGGTTTTTCTGGTGGTGTGGCCGTGGGAGGTTTGTTTGCGTAGTGTTTAATGGCCTCTTGTGCTCATTTTTGTCTTTGTCTTTGCTGTGATAGTGACATGCATGGTACTGAAAGTCACTAATACACAACCTCACCTAGAAGGTGGCTATTTTCCTTTCAACCATCCCAGATGCTTCCGGTGGGATGTGCTCATGTGTTGACCCTTCCAGTGTATCAAAAGCATATTGAGATGATCTGGTCAAAAGCTATGAAAGGTACATTGGTAGCCTTAAGCTTGCTGGGAGTTTAATGGTCTTCAAGAAATGTACGGACATGCTGGGAATTTGGATGCCTTGAAATCACTCCAAGGACAATTCTGTCCTTGCACTCCATGTACTCCAAGAAGGAAGCAGTTCCTCGTGCTGATCCATTTGAGGTCTGTCATTTTCTTTCCCCCACTTTTTGCTTCTTTTGCACCAAACTAACACCCATGGAGAAGTATAAGAATGGTGTTTAAGCTTGTTGAAAGTAACATTTCTACCTCCATTATACCTATTCTTTTCCATTCATCAGATGTTATTTCCTCTCTTTGTTTTCCTCACTCAATATAAGCCAAAGCACCATTGGGTTATTAGCTTCCTAGTTAATCTAAAGCATTAAATGTGAGTATCTGCAGTCACTTCAGCAGTCCTGGAAACAGCTTATCAGATACCTGTGCCTTTCTGGATACCTGTGAAGCTACAGGACAGAGTATTACAGGGTTCACTGTGGTACTCATCTTTTCATTTTGCTTTCTTACCAACAATGTAGGCAACTATTTTTCTTAGTAATGGATAGCTACAGCTTTAAAATCCCATGAGCTGCCTGCCAAAACCTGTTGATTGCAACGGCGACTCAGTAATGTGCTAAAAGTGACTTGCTAGCATATTGATGAAGAGCAGAACTTGACATGGAGTATGTATCTCAAGCTTCAGTGCTTTAACTCCCTTTGGAAGTGCAGGACGCAGATCATGGCTGTGGAAATGCCTCAAGAGGAGCTATAACCCAGCCCTGCACCCAGCTCTTGGGGCGCACCGAATATATAGAAGGGGTCAGGATGTCTCAGCCTTTGCTGAGGAGTTACCGGTGCAGGCAGACTGCAGCAGCTCGGCACTTGGCTTGGGCTGCCCAAAAGTAGACCAAGTACTTGGGCAGTTTCTCACTTCTAATTCTATTTAAAAGCTGGCTTGGGAGGGGTGGACTACCCAGCAGTCAAAGCAGTGACCGTGGCAAAGTGTACTCCACGTTGTGCCATGGCACCACGCTTCTCCAGACTGCCTACCTGAGATCCGCTGTAGGTACCAGAGCTCGGGGGCCTCCCTGTCCTTCCCCAGCATGTTTCCAGCACCGCTGCCCACAGTGGTGCCCACAGAGAGTGGCA